AAAGTTGGTGTCGTGATCATTATCAGAGCCATTAGCAACCCTTACAGTTAGATTTTTTTCCTCTGGAAATTTTACACCCGGAAAGACCTTCCTTGTGAGCGTGGAGCTTATTATGGGCTATATCACTCAGGCAGAGGAGGATTGTCGATTCGCAGAGTAATGATCTTTGGGACGGTAAGAATAACTGTACGGACTAAAAACAATATAATGCAACCCTTAAAAGCAGATAGTCAGACTGACTCTACAGAATAATAGTTCCCACAATTCAAAACAATGTGCAGTGATAGAAATAGGACGATGACAGCCAAGCGCCCAACTCGATATGAGGGAAAACCCGTGCACTTTACAGCAGAGTTCGATAACATTGACTTTCAAATCGGGCTGGTTGAGGGCGTAAGGCAAGTGTTTTGTTCCTCTGCCTCAGTTCAGGGAACATGCAGATACGAGTGACCGAGAGGCTTTTTTGACCTTTCGTGTGCTTGGGAGTTTTTCGGGTGGGAGGGGGGGGGGTGGGATGTTTAGCTACAGTTGTGCTCATGATGATGGAAATTTCTGATGGACATTCCGCTAATCTGAACAGAACGTGATTGCGTACACCGTAGAGTGTACTGGGCGGGATAGACAGAGCGCTAGCGCTATTCTGCCCTTTGTTCTTCGGTAAGAGGTCCTTTCTAAGATCATCTCATTTCTCCACCTGAACGAACTCTCTGCACTATAGAGTGAAGAGGCATCCAATCTCTACGTGAAAAGATAGCCTGGAAGCAACAGTTCAATTTTTTGCCAGAACTGACGAAAACTTGAAAAATTCAACGAAAACTTTCTTTACTTACACTATTCTGTTAAGCTGTACTTTGGAAACGCTCCGGCAGAACGGCGTTCGCTATAAGCGGATCTGTACCGCAACTTGAAAATGTTTACATTGTTAGCGTTAGGCTGCTGTCAGAGTCGGCGATCGGCGATTCGCGCAACGGATAACAGAAATCGCAAGTGATCACAAGTGCTGCGATCAATACCGCGAGGTGCTCTCGAATCCCGCTGCTATTTTTGTTAGAAGTTCCTTTATAGGAA